AGGGGAGCATGTGTACGTTTTTTCAAAAGTCAACCCTTTCATTTGCCCTGTAATTTAGCGACGCCTGTTATGAGATTTAAGAGCCCTGCTTGTGGTCAAAAGCTTAAAAAAACAACTCAAGTGTGGAGGAAAATGGAGCAGTTTGACCTGTCGTCGACGTCCCCAACCCCAACCCATTTAGAATCGATCTGCAACAAATAACATAAGATTATTGAAACATTGACCATTAAATCTGATCAAATATTTTGGCCTCTCTTTCTACTTCTCCTTTCAGGGCTGGGGCTGAACTTTTTCTTTTCTTGGTGGTTAAGAAACAATGGCGATGGACAAAGGGAACCATAATAAAAGTTTAGGGTGGACAAGTATCACATTGAAATCTAAATTTTCTTATGTTATTTATTTATTTTATTAATTCTGCACATCTTAAAGCTTTATTTATGTCTATCTCGTACAAAAATTATATTATTAATATATATGTGTCTACAATAAAAGTTAGGGTAAATTACGTGTTTAATATCTAAACTATCAGTTTCGATCTGTTTTAGTACTTAAATTTTCAAAAAAAAAATTCAAAATCATACCTAACATTTAGTTTTTGTTTCATTTTAGTACCTCACCGTTAAAAACTTAACTACACTTCATTTTTATGGGAAAATTACATCATTCATCAAATAACTATTTTCACTCCTATTTTGGTGCTAAAGTTTAAAAAAATTCAATTTAACTACTCAACTTTCAAATTGCTCTTATTTAATCATTCTAATTTATTTTATTAATAATTTTTTGACATGACATTTTTATTATTATTTTATTAATATATAGTTCAAAATAAAAAATTAAATTTGAAAGTTAGAGTGATTAAAATTATGAGTAATTTGATAGTTAAGTAATAAATTAAAAAAATTAAACTTTACTGACCAAAATAGGAGTGGTAAGATAATTGAGCGATTAATGATGCAATTTACCTATAAAAAGGTGCCACGTGTAAATTACATGTTAAGTTTTTAATGGTAAGATACTAAAATGAAATAAAAACTAAATGTTATGTATGACTTTAAAAAAATTTAAAAATTAGGTACTAAAATTGATAGTTTAAATACTAAATGTGTAGTTTACCCTAAAAAATATTTGTGATCTGCCATTAATAAAACAAAAAAAAATGGCTCAAGTAGAGTTTTTTTTAAAAGATAAGTATTTTATTGTCAATTATTTTATCCATTTTTATCATGAATTATTTCATCATTACCTAAGATAAAAATTAATCTTTAAACATGCACAAAAATTAAATATTTATTTTCAAAAAATTAAAAAAAATATTCAAATCCATCAATGATCAACACATAATATAATATTAAAAATTTATTGACTTAAAAAATAGCAAGGTTAGTTCTCGAGATTTCATTAATTTTTCGTTAATATTTAAAAACTAAAAAATATATTAAAAATAATAACCCAATCAATGACTGACACGTAAAATAATATTAAAAAGATACTTTTCTAAGTCTTTCTATTTTTTATTTCCATTTTCACTTGACACATTCTTTTCTTTTTACTTTTTTTTTATCAATTTAGTCCTTAATTAGAAATTTCCCAAGAATTTCTCCATTCCTCCTATCAAAGTTCGAATTATAACTCTAAATAACTTCTAAAATTACTCCTAAATCATCCAAACCACCCATCTTTACTATCTCAAGTAAAATATTTTCTTGGAGCAAAATGAGAAATCGATAATTTTCGAGGGTCTTTTAGGGGTGTGTCTGATAATACTTTTCGAACTGGATAAAATATTTTCGTTCATTCATGTTTAGAAAACAAAATATCAATAAAAAATAAAAATAAAAACTTGAAGAGAAATGAGAGGAAATTTGAGTAAAAACCGAATAGTTTGTAACAATAGTTCTTTTTCAAGTAAGTGGGTCATTTTTTAAAATCAGAAAGTTGCAGGAATAGATTGTTGGAATGTTGGTTTGTTGTGTTTAATTTATTGTGTTTTCTCTTTATATTTTACTATATAATAAAGTGTGATACTTTAAATTTTAAGTATCGGTCACTGAATTTTTTGGGAACTTTCACTTTGGTCACCTTTCGTTAAGAATTCTAAAATTAAGAAGTTGAATCTGGGGAAAAAAGAATTAATGATGAAATGAGATTGTTATAAAGTTCAGAAACACCCATTGATTGGTGTATAGAAAACTGCATTTGCATTATTTATGATGTGACAAAAGAATGAAAGAAAACACAACGTAAAGCACTGGAAAAATATGTGGGAAGCGAAAATTTCAGCATTTAGGAAGATCGGAAGGTGCCGGTGGGAGCTTCTGTTTCCGGCCCTTTCCGTCCTTGACAACCCAAACCATCTTCAAGCCCCAGCTGGTGTGCACTTCCAAATGGCAATGCATAAACCAAACCCCTGTATTTTTAATACAACAATCACAAAATCAGAGGCCTATTTACAGATATATGACTTGTTGCATAAGTACGTGGGTTATTGGCCAGGAATCACCGGAGGGTCTTTCTTGGGGTTGAATTTTCCGATGCCACGACCAAAAACAAAGAAATTAAACCCATGAAGAAGCAAAGGGTTGCTCTTTGCTCCGAAAATGCTAGTGTCCTGCATCACCAACTCTACTCTAGTGTTGAACGGAAGAGCCACGACTTCGGTGCCATTGTTCAACATCATGTTGCTCGGTGGTGTGCCAGTGTAGTTGAACTTCATTAAAGGGTTGGTCGGGAATCAGTGGTGAACAATCCCTTTGCCTTGTTAAAGAAGTGACCTTGAAGGATTGACATGTTCGGTTGAACAAACGACACATTGTTAATCGAGGCCGCTAAGTTGGGACCTTGACATGTTTGGCTTTTCGGGCATGGAAGCGTCCTGAACCCGACTGTGAAAAAGAAACGTCGATAAATCTCTTTAGGCACGTTTGCCGGGAATTTGGCATTGGACAGGCTACGGATTTTCCTGTTGAATTTCATGAACTTGAGTGGTTGAACTTCGGAAGTACTGCTTTTAGAAGAGGAAGTTTATTGTTTTTCCAGTTGGAGTTTGAGGCTGAAGATTTCTCGTACACTAGAATTCCGGTTGTTGTCGTGTTGTCAAAAGCAATAAGCCTAGTCGACATTGCAAAAGCGATACAGGGAGCCTTGAACTTGGCCCTGAGAAGAACATTAGTGGTTTGTCCGGGACTTATGAGTACAATTTGTGTCTTGAAAGGTTCGACATAGACAGCATCAGCTTCCACCACGGTCAGGGTTTGATTCGCGATGCTTAAAAAGAGATCGGCGTCAGTGCGGCATTGATCAGGCGAAGAAGATAGGTTTTGCCAGGCTTCGCATTGAGCTTAAATGTATCTGCTTCAACAATAATGTTTTAGAATTCCATATATAGTGTCAGATTGGGATATTCGCAATGGAACAATCAATACGATATAGTTACCTTTTGCTTAGCAGATGTAGGAGGGACCTGGTAAGCCATTAATGGTGTAGGCGTCAGAGATATTTGGTGCAGCTCCAGTCTGCAGGGCCTGGCTGATAATTGTCTCTGTGTCTGTTTTCCACCATTCTCCTGTAGCAATGTTAATTTGCGTATAGGTAAATACTTAGTGTCCAAATACGAGAATTGATAATTTAATGTAATTTTCTTTACCAAAAATGATGGGAACTTCTTTGAAGGGCTGGGGAAATGGATACGAAACATGTCGCTTGGGGAGGATGACAATAGGGCCATAAAGAGTGACTATGAGCCATGAAATGTGAGCATGCCAAAACAAGGTTCCCCTTTGCCAGGTGACAGTAAAACTGTGTACATAAGACTGTCCCGTTTGAATGGGGCACTGTGTGATATAGGCCGGTCCGTCCGCCCAACCACTCCTTAGTTGCCGTATTCCGTGCCTGTTTCACCATAAATGGGAGCATTGAGAAGAAGAGTAACAGCAAACAAACAACATCGAGTAACTTCTGTTGGAAGAAAAAGAAACCATTTTGTTTCGTACCAGTGACGAGTGACATTGTATTGAAATGGTTAACCACCTTGATAACGAGACAATCACCTTCCCTCGCTATGATCCGTGGCCCCGGAAACCGGCCATTGACCGTCACAATGCTCTTCTTCGATTGGCACAATATTGTCACATTCTTCATACGTACATCAAACTTGTAGTGCCTGGTAATGGCTGCATGCTTTGCAAATGCAACCTCTGACAATAACCAAAGAGCAGATAATGCAAACAGAACGAACAACTCTGGTTTGGGAAGACATCATTGAACTGTCTTGGAAACTGTTTGAGATTTGGACAATGACAAATGGTGAAAAGGGAGTGATGAAGACAGTGAACGATGTTCTGGTTTTATAAGGAGGGACAAATGGTATGGTGTGTCAATTAGGTATGATTTCAGCAACAAGTTGCATTAATATAAGTAGATGCCGGCTGGTCAAGTTATTCAATTTGGTGGCGTTGATGTGTATGAGCATTGAGCAATGTGTGGGTTGGGATTTCTTTGCTTCAACTTCCTAATGTTCTCATACTGCTGATTAAGACCCGTTATTGTCGCTGTTGGCCACTACTCATTAAATTATGGCCTTAATCTACAATTATTGGTGGATTTCACTTCACACCACTATTTTTCACAATAACAATTCCGGACGCCGTCATTACCACTCCCCTACTACCTGACCGCTATTTTTTTCTCGTTGGCCAAGTGAAATCTCGAGTGTCCCAAGTCATATCTCTTGCTTAATTAGGCTTTAGATTAAACTTTAATGTTGGCATGCATCAGCAAATGCGTTTTCCACTTTCTGGAAATAAACTTGCAGGGTCCATGGATGATTGAGAAATAATATGTTCTTAATATGAATATATAAATTTGTGTATGTTTTAATAAAATACAGTAATATGCTGTAGCACAATCGATGGGATTTTTTTTAGGCTAGAATAATTCAAAGACATTAAACGACTCAGGAACCTGCCTACAAGCTGATGGAACTGTAAATTGTAAGTCGGTTACAATTGATGTTATGTATCCATCATCTGAACAATGGAACAATGCATGCACCTCACCCAAGTTGGCCTGCTATTCTTATGATCGAAGCGTATGTGCCTAGACCAGCGATTATCAACCCCAGAACGCCGATGCAAATGCACACTGTAATCTGAAAACACAACACAAAACACCGAGGTTAAGGCCATTTTCTTTGCAATAGGCACTGCAGATATATATGCTGAGCTTGGATGAGCTCAGGATTCTTACTTGTAACTTGGTTAATCGATCCCTGAATATGCTCAGATAACAGGAGCACGGGAACACAATAGTCTGCGACGAAACATTAGACGGAGAAATTGGTTCAGAAATACTAAAGTTCGATACATATTCGGACCAAGTTCGTGTGTTAGTAGTCTATAAATGAGGAACTTACTATCAAAATTGCCAACAAAGATCCTGCCAATGCCATCACAAAAGCTGCACAAGAGTAGACAAATGAAAACCAAGTTCATATGTTAGTAATCTGTTTTGCTTGGAGAGGAAGAAAAAAAAAACAGTTGAACTTTAGGGCTTATGAAGCTTATTCTAAAGTAACCAAACAAATAATCAGAACCATATGATGTTACCGAAAAAGGGAACTTTCATCGCGACAACTAGAGTTGAAATCACTAAAGCTGTTCTGATGAGTATTGAAACACCGTAAGATCTAAACCATGTCGAAGATATGAGTTCTTCGAGACTCAATGCAATGGGAGTGAGCGTCAAGGCATACTTCGATATCGTTATGATAACCTGAAACGAATGTATATATCATGCTTAGATCTCAATGAGCAGTACCATTAATTTATTATAAACCATAACAATGATCCAGGACTGGCAGAAACTGAACGGAAGCATCAGTCTAGTTAACATACCACGGTGCAGATTGCGATTTTCGAAGCTAAAAATTCCGTTGGCATGTTTAAAGTAAACTGAGATTCAACTGAGTCACCAAATATCAGAAAGCCAGAGATTGCTATCCCTGTGCTAAGGAACCAACAAAACGTAAAGCTGGAAAAGAGAACAAAACAAGTTAACAAGATTGATAATTCCAAAAGACTTTTTAATAAGAGAACATAAATGAATTTGATTATAGCTATAAGAAGGTGAAATTTCATGTTACCTGCCTATAAGAACAACAGGAAATAGTGAGGGCTCTCTCATGGAAGAATATATATTTGGGAAAACCGAATGGCCAGCATAGCAGAAGCTATATATACCGACCGAGATCGGAAGATTTACGAGGTTAAGGGAGGTTCCGCCTTGATGAAACCCGACATGATCCACTCCGATCCATAACAAGCAAAGCACCATTAAAATTGATGCTCCAACTCCACCAACTGAACAATTTAAAGGTTAAGATCAGCATTCATATGCTAAAACACGTGCTAGGGAGGTGAAAGGAGATAAACCTGATAGATACGAGAGCAAGCTAAGGTCTCGAAGCCAAACAGTTGGGAGAATAAAAAGAGTTCCTATGATAGCAAATACTTGAGAAGCATCAAGATATATTCCGGCTAAATGCATGCCGGTGTTCGGGAAAATCGTCGACAGGTTATCACTCATCATTATTACATACTCCACACATGCCGCCTACAGATCAGAGGGTGCTGCTCAAATTTTAGTGCAGAACATGGAGTGGAAACCATATTAAACAGAGAACTTAATCGACAAATGAAAGAGAAATCAGTGCACTTACATATAATTCTGCATACAAAATCACCTGCATTTCAGAAATTAAGATCAAAGTGTCAGTATCACATCTCTAAGGACAAACAGAACATATACGTTGCTATAATGATCAACTTACGGATATCATTAAGCGACCGGCTACACCAAAAGCAGCCTGGCCAATATCAGGATAAGTTTGCAGACCAGGTGAGCTTTCTAAACATCTCTTTAATAGAACCCCGGTATAGCAGGCAACGATACCGAATATTACGAGTAATATGAGGCTAAGCCACCCTCCTTCTTTGACTGCATAAGGAGTTGTAAGGAGTCCTATGCCGGACAGAACATTGATTCCTTCATAAAATGAAACAAAGATCTAAAATTAGTGGGGATCCTTAAGCATCTTCGTCTATAATCAGAAATCAGGCACCAAAATGGAGCTTTTAGCCACACAAACAGCCTGTTACATGGTTCATTACCATTAATAAGTGCTTGGATAAATGAACACTGATTCTCTAAGGGTGGTATTGATCCGTTGATCGATATACTTTGCTGCGAGGCTATTAGATTAGGGGTATGCGCTTCTTCATCCAAAATTGTCTCGAAAACGAGCGGATTATCGAGGGAAGAAGACTCATCATTGAGACTTGGATATTTGCAAGTTGAGGTGGTGCTCCCCACTGATCCTGTTACACCACTTATCTTTAGGAAACTAAGGGATTGAGGCGTAGCACCTTTAAGCATATCCATCGATTCCCTGCAAATATTCAACGAGGCATGATTCCGTTTCGATATAGTAATGCAGATTCATCTTGGTTAAAAAATAATAACAATCTGCATCATGTTTGAACCTGTAACTTTGAGGCCAATTGGAATTGTTAGCTCCAATGAAATTGTTGGAGGAATTTCGAGACGGGAAGGTGAAATCAGATTCAGTATCGTCCTCGGCGTGACCACATACCCTTTCGGCTCGGTTTTCTTCATCGTCTGTTTGGAATGCATCTTCTCGATCTAAACCAACACCAATATCCTCCTCATCAATCTTCATATCTTCCCCTCTTTTCTCTTATACAAAATTAACACACAAACATATATATGTATATATATATATCTACCTAAGGCACAACAAAACTGAGGGATATGTTGTTGTTTTGTTCACTTCCAGGGAGAATTAAATTTGTGTAATACAAAATGGAGTGAAAACAATAGAAAAAGGAGGATGATCGATTGTTTTTGTTTCTTCTACGTTTTTTTCATGATGGAAAAAATAATGAATGGGGGGGATGGATGCATGCAAATTGCAATGCATGGATCTGGTCATTTGTGTCATATGAATGTCAAAGAGAACACGTGGCAGTTCTATGATGATTTCACTATTAGTAGCAACCATTTGAGGAGATCCGAACTTGTGGGTTGCAGTTCATTTTCCTCATTTGCCACATCACCTTTCTCCAACTTTGTTTTCCCTTACTTGCTAGGATTTATTATCTGCTACTTAATTTTGGGTACAATTTAACCTACTATGTTACATTATAACATGATTAAGGGTGTGTATATATATATATATATTAGTAAAGATAGAGTTATTTAAATATTGAGAGGAGTAAAGATGAAATTAGATCAAACAGTGAGAGAGGTCAAATTGCTAAACTTCATAAATTAAATGGAGGTCTATTAGTTATTTAACCTTAAAATGTAGGAGGCAAGGTCTAATTCGATTAATGTTTGAATCCAAAGGGACTTAAAATGCAATTAGATAATGTTTTTGAAAGAGTACTAAGTCCCTCTTTAGGATGTCAATTGTGCTCGGTAGATCCATGGCACTATCCCCATGCATTAAAATTATCATGTTCCACCATTCATGTCTCGAAACTCACCTGATTCCCATTATATTCATCACGCAATTCATTTCATAAATAATATTTATAAATATCAATTAAATAAATATAAAGTAATTTTTATATAAATACTCATCACTCCAACTCCAATCACATACATAACATTATTCTCATTGTCATACAAGCAATGTCTTAGATATATCATAAATGTCTTCAAGAGTTTTCAAAATTATTAATATTTTTTTTGGTATATCGGAGAAATAGGATGATGCTGTGCAAGCGAGAAATTAACGAGGTGGGTAAAAATGGAGCAGGAACAAAATCATATTTAAACTTATCCACCATTCAAGGCGGGTCTAATTTTTTTTCTTGATCCCGTCCCACCATCCGCATCAATATTTACCTACTCAAGTGCAAAATGAGACAATTTTCCTCTCATAGCCTATAAAACTCCAAGCACCGCCAACTCTACTTGATACAACGTTGAATAAGAAGTATTTTTGGATAGCGGCATAGGTCCATGAGATGTTATTCCTATCTCATTTCATCTTTATACCAACTTTCTTTATAATCATGGATAAGAGATTCCAATCCAAGAGCATCCTAAAAGCACACCACTTGTTCTATTATATCACTTCTGAATCATAAATAGAAGGAATGAATTTCTTCTTATTATAGCCTTTTTCAACTTGACTCGGTTTGCCTTTACAACGAGCACGTTGTGCTTCTCTTTCAGGGTTCACCACCTTCAAATTCAGCACACGAGATAAAAGCACAACACTAACAATGATGGGGTCCTTTACAAAGCAAAAAAAAGAAAAAATGCTCAATTAAATATTGAGTGACTGTTTTAGACAATGTTGCAGATAAAGTCTGCAAAGATGCAATCATATATCCTATAATTACTCGGTCAAAAAATCGGAACAAGGTTTCAGATTGTGAATGTTACAAGAGACACAGCAGGTCCTGTGCCAGGGTCGCAATTCAGAATGTGTCTACAGATTTGTTTGCTACTACACTACAAGCGGCTACAGTCCATCAGTAGTTGGAACTCCAGATTCTGTAATATAACAATAATCTAACACAAAGTCACAAACAAGTTGAAATGGAATAGATTCTATGCTGCCAAACATTACATCCTAACATGAGAACCTCATTTCACAGGAAGCATGATGTTCAAGAAAGCATTGAAAAAAAAATAACCCAAAATGATATGCAAACCACAAGCCATGGTGAAGAACTGTTCCTCGCAATTCAAATGGATTCTTTATATAGGCATTGTATGGTTAAATCATCAATCAAATTTCCAAACACTTTACACATCACCGACCATGATTCCCACAGGAAAATAAAAAAATGTAATCATAAACACATTTTAGCAGGTCTTATGATTTGATAATTCCATGAAAATCAAAGAAAAACTTTACGATTACAAAATACAAAGCATATACAAAAAGATGCAAACGACACATTGCCCTAAGAAACTGTTATTGAAAAGTACTAGGAATGCAACATGGTACAATATGTATGCTCCTCAATACCATCTACCGTGTTTTATTTCTAAATTCGTATATCCAATGAAGAAGGCCCTCTCACCAGCCATCAAAGTGAAGAGGAAGAGAAGGGAATTCCTTTTTTAAACAAACAAGAAAATTCTTTTGTAGGGAAACAGAAATGCATATTGTAATATTCATAAGCAGCATTGTCTAAGAAACAAATTTCTAAGGCATATAGTTCTTCAATAACAATTAATTTCACAAATTAAAGCCTTCATTTTAAAATCAGAGAACAAACAGAAGCAAAGGCCAGTAGGACCCCTTCCCATCATATCAGTGTAAATTGTAATTGTTTAACAAGGTTAAGATAGTATCCAAGCTGTCCAACCAATAAATACACTGACTTCTACTTGTCTCTATCCACATCTACATTAATGATCAAGCTCCAATTGGTGCAGTTCCACATATATGCACAATAATGAAAAATTTAGTGCACAATTAAAATTTGCGGAATCCATCACATGGTTAAGTAATTCAAACAAAAGATAAACCAAGTAGAGCAGTGGCTGCAGGTAGATTGGCTTCGAGTTAAGTAAACAACAAAAACAACATAAACGACTTAAGAACTGCAATAAACAACAGATTCCTGATAATAAATACATGCAAGTAATAATGAAAATCATAAATTATGGAGACAAAACTTACTAATTGAACTTTTTTAGGCGTAAGATCGATTTATATGAGAGGTTAGTAACCCAGCAACCACTAAACAACCCCACTAGCCACAAAACTTTCTCCTTCATCCACTTCTTCTGCCTCATTCGTGCACATAACAACTCATCAAAGCTTCTTTCTCTTTTGACGGGACTAATGCTTCATTCCTTCACCAAAAGTGTTGTTATTTACATCAAAGTAAAACCATACAATCTACAAACATCCCCTTCCTTGAGGAAAACTGCAATACTATAGTATTGGATTAAATGGGAAGGAAAGGTTAACATAACATTGAACAGATGATACATTCAACCACCGTTCAATCCTCAAAATCCCATTCGCTATCCCTTCTGGACGACCTCCCAAACACTGAACTCGATCTACTTCTCCTTGTAAATCCAGAATCTGAGCCCGAACGCGAGGAGCTCCTAAATCTTCCAAAAAAAGAAACAAAATTCCGGAAAACACGTCCTAATCCTCTACTCTCTTGTGACCTTCTCCCACTAGGCGCCCACGAAATCCTTCTGGGAGCACCCGCATTATTTAACCCACCATCCATCTCAGTAAACACTACGGGAAACTCCCTCTCCGCTGCTCTAGTTCCTCCGGTAAACCTCCCCACAGCAAACCCACCTCCCGGTAACCTCCATATGGTTAATCCCACAGCTTCTTCATCTCTAACAGCATCGTTTTCCACTAAGTTATTTCCGTTATTTTCTGTTGGCAATTCATGGCGGCAAACGGGGCAAGAGTTCCGAATAGAAAGCCAAGGTAAAATACAATCTGAATGGTAAATATGCTTACAAGGCATTTCCCGAGCTTCGGAGTGGAGCTCGAATGGCTCTTTACAAACTGCACAATGAGATTCCGATCTTACGTGGCTTCCCACGATTTTTATCACCGGCATTGATTCAATTGCCGCTTTGGAGGCAGGCGGTTGGTCGAGACGGCCAACTCCGTTGGCTTCTAATTGAGATAACTGATCAAGAAGCCGATCAAAACCTGACCCCATTAAAAACTCCGACATGCTAGCAGGCAAGGGACGAAGACCCGACCCGGACCCATCTTCGTAATAAAGCTCCAAATTTCTATTACCTCTCTCGGTAACCATGCCATCGGCATCAGAGGTTGGTCCACGGAGGACAACAACAGGATTGAAAGGGGAGCGATCGCCAGCGTTCCGACGAGTTCGACGGAAATGAGGAGTGGTGCTGGGCCTTGGGCTGAGGGCGGGGCTTGACGTGTCGGAATACATGGCGGCGGCAGGGAAAAGATGGTGGATGGGAGATCGAGAGGGCGTTTCGATTTCTTCGATGAATCCTCCGCCACAGTCGGGGCAGATGTGCGAATCTTGGGTAGATCGGAGCCGGATCCGGATGAAGCGGTTGCATCTGTAGCACCAATAGGGAGATCTAATCGATTCCATATAAACCCGAAAAAGATTGTCAAGAAATTAAAACGTGGAAATTGAGAAATCAGAGGAATGTCAAAGAACCCTAGAATTAGAGAGAGAGAGAGAGAGAGATGATAAAAGGCGAAAGGATGCGTCGTCATGCGTGGAAACGTCAACGGTATGAGCGCGTGGTTGCTACGCTTTCAATTACTTCTTTAACGGAGTTCCGTTGCTTTTTCAGTTTTATAGTTAACGACGTTAGTGATCTCATAGGAGAAGAGAGCAATGTAGACCTCTAAACAAACCGAACGTTCAATGAACTGTTTATTTATATTCGTGTATGTTCGTTTATGTCTGTTCGTTTATATTTAGTCAAATCTTCATACCCATTTAAAATATTAAGATCTAATCGTTAATATTTTAAAAGTCAAATAATTTTAAGCTCAAACCAATTAAACAAAATATAAATCATACTCATTTAAAACTCAAATAATTTTAACTCTCAAGTTGTAGGTTACAGTAGAAACTCTTTAAATTAATACTTGGTAAATTAATAAACTCTCTAAAATAATAAATTTGTCAGGTCCCGACTTGGGCCAATGTAAAAAATTGAAAAACTCGATAAAATAATAAGATAATAATTTTTCGTGAGATCTCTTTATAATTTTCGGTCTCAAGAAAATCATAAATTAATAATTCATAGAAACTGAAAAAAATATATTACACTCTATTGAAATATGATTCAATAGTTGTTTGTTTTCCTTTAAAGTTCAAGTCTATTTGGAGCTCATTATTAATTTAACTCATCTCTTGCAACGTAATTCTAAGAGGCATAGACTAATTTTCCTTTTTGTTTGGTATGTACAGTATAATTACTTAAAAACTTTTTAAATTAATAATTATTAATTTATCGATAAATTAATATCTCTCTAAATTAATAAATTTCTCCGGTCCTGACATTATTAATTTATAGAGTTTTAATTGTATATTAATGAATAATGAATTTTATGTGGTTATTGTTATTGTTTACATTTGTTTATCTTGTTCGATTATGTTCATTTTTTTTTATTTTTACTCGTTTATTGTGTTTGTTTATATCTGTTCATTTATATCTGTTTATATTCATTCATTTGTGTTCGTTTATCATTTAAATGAATGAACATGAACGAATGCGAAAAAGCTACATTCCTTAACGAACGAACACGAACACGAAATCTTGTGTTCGTGTTCGTTCATTTGTTCGGTTAAATTTAAACGAACGAACATGAACATACATCGTTCGTGTTCGATCGGTTTGTTTACTGACCTAAGGCGATGACCCCTTTAATGGAAATTTGTACTTTTGACCAATAATTCAATTTAGTCCCTTGTCATTCCTTTATTAATGGAAAATTCTACTTTCGACCCTTCTAAAATTTAATTGTTAATTATCCCCAAATGTTTTTAAGTTAATATTATAAAATTTATAAAATTTGAAGAATCAATTTATTTTAAATTATTTTTTCAATTTTGACTCAGTAGAAAGATTAAAACCATAATTATGTTGAAATTGTTTTAACAAAAAAATTGTAAAAGAACTAAAAAATAAACTACATGTTTAGTATCTCAATTATCATTTTATTTTGTTTTAATCATCTAACTATGTTTTATTTTAAAATCATATATGACGTTATGATTTAGTTTCATTTTGATCATCAGTCATTTAAAAATTAAGAAATATAATGTAAGTACTTTTGTAAATTTCTAACTGCGAGTGATAAAAATGAAGCAAAAACGTAATATTAGGTATTATTTTTAAACAAAAATTAGTTGGATGAACATAGAGGAACAAAAGTGACAGTGAGAGTACTAAACGTGTAGTTTATCCTAAAAACTAGAAGAATTATACTAGAATTATTGGGCTTCTTTAAACCCAAGACAACATAGTCAGATGAGCCAATGGATGGATCCAATCAAAATACATGTGGAAACAGCAAGAAGATTGTTGCAATTCGCTCAAGATGATTGAAAACAGTTCCACTCAGGTAATATATCTTGGTGAGTCCGCTAGAAATGAAAAAATCTTCACAAACAAGAAGATCAATATTATGCTAGACAAAATGAATTTCTTGTTGTGGAAACAACAAGTGCTTTTAACAATTCGAAGTCATCGGTTGGAGAGGTTACTCAATGGAGGTCTGAGACCACCACCAGAGAAGGTACTAGACTCTGAAGGTAATCTTGTTGCTAACGATGATTATGAAACCTTTGTTGCACAAGACATTGTATTAGCTTATTGGTTACTTTCAACCATTAGTGATCACATCTTACCCCAATTTGAGGGTGCTGAGACAGCAGTTGATATATGAAAGATGGTGCTTCATTACTTTGCAAATACGTGAACTACTAGTGTGATGAGCTTGCACTGTAAGATACGGTCCATCAAGAAAGGTGATGACATCATGCGATTGTATCTTACTAAGATCAAAGAGGTCTGTGATGCATTAGAAACATGTGGGAGTGCGATTTCAGATCTGAAACAGATATCACACTGAATGGTCTCCCATTCGAGTATCAGACTTTTATGGCAGTGATAACTGCTAATAAAGATACATTCTCTGTTGATGGAATTAAGACAGTGTTGGTTGATGCAGAAATGCAACTGAAGGGATTTCAAACTCAGATGCACATACTGATGAGTGTGAATATAGCTCGTGTCAAACTGGCCAAGACAGTAGTCGTGCTGGTCAGTATAATAGGCATCCTCAGTATGCTGGAAGGTATGGAGCCAGAGGTCGTGGGAATCCGAGGCTTCAATGCCAACTGTTTGGCGAGACCGGGCACTCTGTAGGTCATTGTTAGCACTGGTTTGATCAAACATTCCCAGGTGTGTTGGCTGATAAAGGTGAAGCAGTAGAAGCCCATCTTAGTGTTGTGGATGGTTGTCCTTCGTGTAACATGGGTGTACATGTTCAGGCTCAAGTAGCTTCCACCAGTGCTGATTGATGGGTGGTTGACTCTGGGGAAACGCAACACATCACGTCGGATGCCACAAAGCTGGTGAATAGTTTTGACTATACTGGACCATGTAAATTGGTTGTAGGAAATGGTAACAACCTAGATATTGTTAAATCTGGTTGTTTGGTATTGTCTGCTAGTTCTCGAGCTTTGTTTCTTAATAATCTGCTGCTTGTTCCCTCCATCACTAAGAATTTGCTTTTTGTGTCGAAGTTTGATAGAGATAATGAGGTTCATAGTACTAAATTGCGGCTGCAAAGCAACGTAACGCCCGCATCATAACGTTTTTGAAGGTTATCGCGATGCAATATCAGTGCAACGCGATAAAGGAACCGCATCACGATTGTTGCGGCAAAAAACCGTTTCATAACACCGCGACACACTATAAATTACGCCGCAACAAAATTTAAATTATCTGAAATATAAAATTACATAGATAAATTGTTCTAATTTAATTCTTAAAACTGAATTCTAAATATATATCATTAATAATATTATAATAATTATGTTTAAAATTAGTTACTTAAATTTGAATTAATTAAATTATTTATTTAGGTTATTTTAAAATTAAATTAGTTTAAATTTAAATTGAATTTTTCTCATATCTAAAATTGATGTGATTAATTTTAAATTAAATTTTTATATTAACATTAAATTTAGGTTATTTTAAAATTAAATTAGTTTATTTATATTAACTTTAGTGATATTGTTTATACGTTATTCATTAACATTATAATTGTTATTACTCATTGTCCTGTATGATAACACTTTTATGGTTTATATTTGTTTTTCATAAATTTTTATTTTCAAAATAAAATATTAAAAGAGTATATTTTTATTAGTATATTAAAAATAGCTGTAAAATATATAAATTTAATATTTTAGACGTATTGTGATTTTTTAAGAAGAGATTACGCCTCCGACAACCACAACACGTTACGTAACATCCGCAATATCCGCAACCGCGACACCACAACCACATCCGCAACCACAGTTTGATACTATAATGAGGTCTTCTTTGAGTTCCATACGAAGTCGTGTTTGGTCAAAGATGAGGTGACTGGGCATGTGTTGTTGGAAGGACAAGAATGCAGTGGTCTCTATCATTTTGCTGCTGAGCTAGATCATGTGAGGAGTTGTGATCTCGTGGACGTTAAGCATTCTAATAGTACTAATAAAATCTATGACCTGTTGCACATGAGGCTTGGTCACCCTGGTCATTCTATTCTTGTACAAGCTTGTTAACAAGTTGATGTTTCCTTATCAAGATAATAAAACAAAATAGTCATTTTGTATAGCTTGTAGAATGGGAAAAAAGTCATAAAATGCCATTCAATAAATCTACAACGATATATGATCAACCTTTTCAACTTGTTTTCACAGATGTGTGGGGACTGTCACACATAGCTTCGAATGGATTTTGATATTATGTGTCTTTTGTTGACGCTTGTACTAGACATTGTTGGGTGTATTTGCTTAAGTTTAAGGATCAAGTCTTTCAAACGTTTCAAATGTTTTACAATATGGTAAAGACTCAGTTTGATACTATGATAAAATAGGTGCAAAGTGACCGGGGTGACGAATATAGGCATGTCTCAGTGTGGCTAAAAGGTTTGGGAGTTATTCATTGGTTGTCATGTTGTAACAACCCGGAAAAATTTGTAGAAAAAAAGTTATTATTAATTAAGATATTTGGCAAAGTTTAAGGATTAAATTAGAAGTTTTGAAAATTTAAAGTTCATTTTAGAAGTTGGAGAAAATTCAATGACCAAACCCTGAATTATACTTTTAAATGTCGGTAGACTTTTCTTTTAAATGAAATGAATTGGTTTCTGCGTGAAAACACAGAAAACAAATTCATAAAATTTCATTTCCAGCAACCTTCTTTCAAGTCTAATCCCGACGCCGTCCGACCTCCGATTGTCAAATTGAAACCACAATCGGGTTCATCTTCGACTCGTGAACCAAACCCAATAAACCAATTATAGCGAAACGTTGCCAAACGACGTGAATTTCGAGTCAAAGTCTCGACGTTTTTTTAGCACCACCGCCGAGAAAATCTTAAATTTATTTTCGATCGTTGATCGGTTTTCGACACCTCTCGCACCATCGTGTTCCTGGT